TACCCTTTCTCCAGTTTCACCCTCACAAGGTCATCCTTTACCCTAACCTCTCATTCCTCCTAAATCTTGTTGTATCTGATTTCCACAACCTATCATTTTACCTACCTTTTCCCCATCTCCTTCCAATGATCTTGGGCATGCCTTGCACTCCATCGACATCCATTGGGCCTTGGCATTCTATGTCTCCCGGACTTTGTCTTTCTGCAAATCCAAAAGACTCTTGGATCTAATAGAGGATCCCCAATCTTGCCTCAAACTGTTTCTCGGAGGATTGTCATGATCATCCAACCAGTCTATGACCTGGCTGACAAACCTTTATTGAGTCCATTGAAAGCACACTTATTCAGAGCTGTTGCTACATCCACTGCCTTTCTCAGAAGAGTGAGCTTGCCAGATGTCTGTAAAGGTGCTACATGGTCCACACCTTCAACATTTGCCACCCACTACAGGCTTGACATCCATACCAGGGTGAATGATGCATTTGGCAGAATAGTAGTGGCATCAGTATTCCCATATGGGAATGGTCCACCTTCTGGTAAATCACCTTGCTAATCACCCTATTGTATGCATTCACGGAGACCACAAAGAAGAAAGAGAGGTTGCCTGTATGTAACTCTGGCTCTTTGAGTGGTCATCCATGAATTCACACATCCTGCCTGTCCTTCTCTCTGTCCATCACTTATGTCTTATACTTGATTGACAGAGGTGAATTGTTCTCTGGAACTGAGGCACTTGCTAGGATGGGCAGACCATGTGTATAAGGGGGCGGTCCTGATGAACCCGTGCTAAAGTTCTAGAAGATTTCAAGAACCTCTGTGCAAGTACAGAGCAACCCTATTGTGTAAATTCACAGATGACAACTTGAGGAACCAGATTTATAGGTAGGTAACCTCTTTCTGATATTCATAAGGTTTTAGAAGAGTAGGTGGTAGCTAGTCTGCAGTACTATATCCCTGCCACAAGATGACAGCAACTCAAAAGGAATAATCTGTTTTTACTTGATCCCATGGTGTGACAAAATTTCGAGCAGAGCAGAGGTAACAGAGACCTTTGCCATAGAGCCTAAATTATTGAAGGTGAAAAAAGTTATTATACAGTTGTTAGTTTTCAGTGTATAGTTCCTTAAAGTATTATTATGTACTGTCCATATTTCCTAGTACAGTTATCTGAAAAGTTTTTGAAAAAGTGATTTGCTTCATTCATTGGTGGTTGTAATACATTGGATTCCAGGGAACCTAGAGTTACTGTACTTGGGAATGTATTTATTTTTTTCTGTTTTCTCTGATATACTCAAGGCATTGTGCATGGCTCTCTTTCTGCTCCTCATTTTATCCTCACAACAAACCCATGAAATGGATCGTTCAGCAAGCCCTACATGGTCACTCACTGAGTTTCATGGTTTAGTAGAACCTGCCTCACCACAACCCGATCCCCAGCACACTAAGTAGTGAACTGGATCGTCTGTCTTTGTATGTACTGAAGTGCCCCTCAGTGAGGCCAATAATGGCAGACAGCTTCTGCTATCCACAGTCCTCAAGGGAAACATCATGCGGATGAGTCCCTGATTCTTTATGGCTGTTTAAATCAGACTTGGGTTGGAGAGCCCTTTAAATGGATACCTTCAAAAAGTGGATGTTCCTTTGTAAAAAAAGGACACATGGGTATGCTACTTAAAATAGTTCTCTTGTTTCTGCGGAAACTTTCTACTATTTATAGTGTTAAATTACCGAAGAGGGGCATATCATCTCAAGGACATAAATTTTTCATTGTATTTTAAAATAGTGCAGAACATTGATTGGTTCTCTGGTGACTCTGGGAGATTTCCATTCACTCTTGAAACTGTGGCTGATCTCAGCTGCTGTGCTTTAGTTGGAGCTTTGAATTAGTGAGTTACAAATAATATAGTTACATTGATCAAGTTGCCTGTTTTCTTTTTTGTAATGAGGGTGCAACAAAACCCTGATTTAAAAGTAGTGCCAGAAGTGAGAATCACGTTACTTTAATGATGTAATGAGTAATATTGACACATGGATTCATCCCTAGCATCTTTGGTAATTCTGTGATTCTGTGTTTTAACAGCACCTGAGACAGTTTTTCAGATTGCTGTCTTTAGTCCTCCTTTATCAGCAGTTTTATGACTGTACGGATTTCCTATTTGTAGCTGATACATTTAATTCTGTTGTAATTTGCTTGAGGCTGCTGGATAGGCACCTGACTGTGGAGCTAGAGGTTGGGAGTGTGATTCCCCACTGTGCCTCCCTGACAGGGGCTATCCTCAATGATCCATAAGGTCCCTTCTAGCTCTGCAATTCTAAGATTATTATTGTTGTTCTTGAGCAGTAAGGTGAAGTAAAGATACAGTCAATAAACTGTTGAGACTTCTGCTGAGTCTAGCTCGGTGCTACTTAATTGGGCACCAGTGCTTTCCCCCAGACTTTCTGTCTCTTTAGCTGGATGAGATACAAAGGGTTGATTTTGATTCTTCCGTATGCACATTGTATGTTCTGGTGCTTCTTGAGATTGCACTGCAAATTCAGTTTTTCTTCTATTCTATTTTGCTTTGCAGACATTTTAATGGCTTATATGTATTGTTGTAGGAGAAGCTGAATGACAGATAAATTGCCTCTTTGTTTTTGTTACAAAATAACATATGCTGAGGGTGACAGCTTTCTCATATAATATTTGGTAGTTGGATATAGACATTCAAATGCAAAGTAGGTATAGCCATACTGAGTGTACAAAATTTTGAGTGTATTATTTTAAGGTACTCGGAAGTAGTGGCAGGATTTCCTGGCAAGTGTTTGTGCTGATGGTGCTGGTGATCTTGGTGAAGCTCTGGCTGACTTCTCAATTGAAGTGATCTGTTGATTTGGTTGATGTGGTTATTCCATCTCTATGGGTGGTTGATCTTCAGGTAGCCAATAATGTTTTTTTGTTTGTTTGTTTGTTTTTTGATCCATTGGGATGGATCTCTGCTTCGGTGCAGCTGATGGCAACACTCAAACAGGGTTTCCAGTTGGTTTTGCCACAGAGGAGAGGCAGAGTTGAAGAAAGGGCCAAGCGAAGTCTCCTCCTTCCCTACCCACCCCACACTCCCAAAGCAGCTGAGGTGGCGGTCTCACTGCCGCTAGTAGCAGCACCTCAGCGGTGATCCCAGTGGATTGCTGGGAAGAGTGACCTGAAAGCAGACATTATGGTTACTCTCAGGTGGCTTCTGGGGTGGAAGCTTGGGATGCCTCCTACCTGAGTGCTCTCAGAACAGCCTCCACGCGACCCAGTGATCATAGGATCGCTAAGATGTGGGTGAGAATAAATTCTTCTTTTAGGTGTGTAGGGCGTGTGGACGTTTTAAGGGCCTTTACACCAGTCTTTCTGTGTGTGCATCCCAGTGGCACCTTTTGCACCCCCGGTTGTCTGTTTTAAGTTCTAATCATTCTATTAGAAAATCTGAATGCTTTCATGATAGAAACAAAAGAGCACTTTTTCCAAGTATGAACATTTATATGAATACAGGCACTCTGTTTTTATATTTATTATATCATTTATTGTAAGTTTTTAGCATATAAAAATAATATTATTGTGAGTAATGAAATTTTAATTACCCCCTTTGGTCTGTTACTATGTTTGTCACATGCTATAATTTTTAGGTATAAAAACTGGTGGTATGGTGGAAAATAAACACAAATGTAAAATAATTGTAAAAAATAATACCGTTGTGAATTCTACTGTCGGGCAGAAGGGTTTCTTTTCAGATGCTGGATAAAGGCAAGGCAGGTCTTTTAAAAGGGTAAGTGAAAGATGCCTAGGCCACGGGAAGTAGTAGAAAGTTTGTGAGAAGGAGAGTTCTATAAAGTGGGGAGAAGTCTGAGATGTGGAGGAAGACTTGAGAGACAGAGATGTGAGATGCACTTATCTAAGAACTGTGGAATATTTTACAGTGGTGCCCTGCATAGCGACGATAATCCATGCGGCAAAAATCGCTGCAAAGTGATTTCGTCGCTATGCGGTTTTAAAAAGCCCATAGGAATGCATTGAAACCCCTTCAATGCATTCCTATGGGCTTAAAACTCACCTTTAAGTGAAAATCCTCCATATGGCGGCCATTTTTGCTGCCCGGTAAGTGAGGAATCCGGGCGAAAACACAGCGGACGGCCATTTTTTTTAACCCTGTGGCCATTTTGGAGCCGCCGATCAGCTGTTGGAAAATCATCGCTTTGCGATGAACAGTAAGCAAAATGGTAACGATCATCGCAAAGCGATTTTTTTCCTATTTAAAACATCGCAATGCAATCGCTTTTGCGATCGCAAAATCTTCATCGCTATGCGGATTCGTCATTAAACGGGGCGCCTGTTAAGCGAGGCACCACTGTACTTGCAATAACCACTCGGGTGCTGGAAACCAGCATGATTGTATTAGACAGGCATAGTTATTTGGTTGGTTGCCAGAATGCAAGCTTTTTACTATATGGCAATATTTGTTTTAAAACAAAAGCTGGCTGCTAAGAGGTGGTGAATTTATAACTCTCCTTGTGTGGCAAGCTGTGGGAGGGCTCTTGTTCTTACTACAAGAGTGGCTTGTGGGCAGCTGTTATATGTGCAGCACAGGCTTTTTCTGCCCTCGAAAGACATGAGGAACAAACGCTTTCTTAAAGCCTGCACGTGGGGACAATGTCCTCTAAACTGGTACTTTCATACAAACTCTGGACATCTTGGGTGACATTTTGAAAATGTTTGCATGAAAAAAATATGGATGGTAGAGTGAGAGGACAGTGACGGTACTTGGAAGAATAGTTAGTCATGGTAATGTCTGCATAAAGGTTTTTGTGGGGACTGTAAAACCTCATATAAATTGATTGAGAATTAGAGATGTGCAGATTATGTCCACGCAGATCTTTATATCTCTATTAAGAACAAAAATATAATGATGATGTAAAGTTAGAATATCGTATCGTTGGAAGTAACTCCTCTCATTTAATGTTTACTACTATTTATGTGCCTAGATTGGAATTATCGGAGGGACCGGTCTGGATGATCTGGACATATTAGAAGGTAGAACAGAAAAGTATGTAGATACACCGTATGGAAAGGTGCGTATCCACACATCTGCAGTGTGCTAGGAGGTATTTATAAACAAGTTTTCAAAAACTGTCCATCCTGCAGAATTCCAGGCATGTGTTTTTTAAATGTAGTGTCCCACAGCAACCTTTGGAATACGATTGGAATTCCGAAAACTGTTTGATTAATACATCTGTACAGTAAGGAGGATTCATATCAACTGTCTGACATTCGTTGTTTATAATTTTATGAATGAATGTGTATATTGATGCTCATCCTCATATCAAGTTTAGGTTGTAATCCTATGCAGAGGAACAGGCCCTATCATACCTACTGGGGCTTAACAGCTGAGCTGACATTTTAAGGACAATATTAACAATGTAAAACTGTCTCTGAATTTTTTCAGAGGTAAATTTATTTTTATTTTTCTGATATTTCTTTTCTCTCCCCTACCACCTTTTTTTCTTTTCAAATTTCAGCCATCTGATGCTCTGATTTTGGGAAAGATAAAAAACGTTGACTGTGTGCTCTTGTCCAGGTATGTGAACTCTTGAAATAGCACTTGAATTAATTTTTTTAATTGGAAAATCTGGTATGCATGATACATGTGCTATGAATATGATTGTTTGTTTCTACACCACCTACTTATATAATTGACTGAAGGCAGTTTACAACTTTTGAAAACAAGCGTATAAATCATAATAAATAAAAATCGCAATAAATAGTTAAATAAAATATTTCCTTTCAAGGAGAAAGGTGGGGTAAAATATTTTAAATAGAATAAATTAAATGAGTAATAAACAAGAATTAACATCTATTAAACATTAAGAAAACTTATATAAATAATAAAATGGCTGCCACCCACCATCCATATAACATCCAAATTCAAATGCTTAAAGAAGGAATGTTCATGCCTGTGGAAGGAAGGATAGAGGGCCAAATGCATTTCCCAAGGAAAGACATTTCATGGGCTGGGAGCTGCCACTTGAAAAAACGTCCGTTGTGTCCTCACCAGAAGAACTTATCAAGGTGGTGGAACCAAGAGAACCTCACTTGATTATCATAATATTTGTTTACAGAAGATCCTGAATTAATAGTTGGTTGGGGAAACTCACTTTTTATTTTCTTCTGAACTTTAAGTTATTATTATTATTTATTTAATTTATACCCTGCCTATCTGCTCAGAACGAGCACTAAGTTCATTGAATCTTATTGGGGAATACAGTTTTCAGTTCAAGCTTACCTTTAAAAGGCAGATGTGTGAAGAACCATGGAGATATGTGGGCTTGGCAGTACCTTGTTTCCCCAAAAATAAGATCTAACCTGAAAATAAGCCCTAGTATGATTTTTCAGGATGCTCGTAATAGAAGCCATACCCCAAAAATAAGCCCCAGTTAAGTAAAACCCCCCCCTCCACCTTTGTGCAGCATTGTGCAACAACCAGAAGATGACCTGACTGTATTTGAATAAATGTAAATTGTTGCACGTGAAAAAAATAAAGCATCCCCTGAAAATAAGCCTTAATTAATATAAGACCTTGTCTTATTTTTGGGGAAACATGGTACCGTCATAGTCTCCCAGTGAATTTCAATGTCCAATTTAACCTGTTGACTAACCTGATTTTAACTTTTACAGCTATAGATGCTTGGAACAAGAATGTAGAAGAATCACCTTTTTTGTACCACAGCTCCTAGAATTTCCCATGATGCCTGAGGGATTCTGGGTATTGTAGCCTTTAAAAAGTAACTTTTCCAAACTCTGGTTTATATCCAGATTTCTACCTTCCCCTGCACCAGCTTGCCCATATTCTGAAGAAGCTCGCATAAGCTCTTCTCTCTTGCTTGATGTCGTTGTTGTTTAATCGTTAAGTCATGTTCTACTCTTTTTGACCCCATGGACCAGAGCACGCCAGGCCCTCCTGTTTTCCACTGCCTCCCAGAGTTGGGTCAAGTTCATGTTGGCAGCTTCGATGACACTGTCCAACCATCTCGTCCTCTGTCGTCCCCTTCTCGTCTTGCCTTCACACGTTCCCAACATCAGGGTCCAGCTGTTATTTCCATACATTGCTACTGAAAAAGCCATAGTTTTGACTATGCAGACCTTTTTTGGCATGGTGATGTCTCTGCTTTTTAAGATGCTGTCTAGGTTTGTCATCACTTTCCTGCCAAGAAGCAGGCATCTTTTGATTTTGTGGCTGCTGTCACAATCTGCAGTGATCATGGAGCCCAAGAAAGTAAAATCTGTCGCTACCTCCCTTCTATTTGTCAGGAGGTGATGGGACCAGTGGCCATGATCTTAGAATTTTTTTTTTGATGTT